CTTAATAGCGTAAGAAGAAGGGTTTAATTGCTTTGATCCCAGAGTTCAAGGGCTTAACTGCATCAATTAAAGTCTAGGGGCTTAATAACAATTCTGGGGTTAGTTCAGGGGCTTAACTTATGGTTTTGCCTATATTTTTGGCATGAATAATGACTGTTTGTTTAGGATTAAAAAATGAAACACGGCAGCCGCGTCACATTCACGATCGTCCTCACGGAACTCAAAAATATTTCGTCTTGTTCGGTCTTCCTAAAACCCACGAGAATTTATTCCCTGCGCAACAACAGCAACTGACGCCGCCACCAACTCGCCAACAACAAAAACTCGATGAAAGCAATGCCAATGTCAGACGGGCGATGAAAGCCATGACGGAGAATAAGACCCGGCATCTTTCCCGATATTCCTATCGTCACATTTCTATATCTTTTCGTATCCCGAGGCATCCCATATCCTATTCCTCTATTTCTTCCCTTTCGCACCTCTTTTTAAAAGTTACCTGAATGCTGCTTTCCTTTCTCATCGGTTCCGATTCTCTGTTTCTGCAATGTTCGCTCCCGATCGCCGTTGCTTATTCGTCGACTTGATCGGGAAATCTGAACAGTTGAATCACGATCACCGTCCGTTTCACCTTGGAGGCTTGTTTCTAAATGACCAAACGATCCCTTCCTCGTTTGTTTCTTTAGTTTCAGTAAAGGAGAATAAGAGCTCCGTCGGTGACGGCGATCTGCGTTTGGTCTCGTGTATTTTTAGCGGAGGGAAGAGTCAAACGCTGCGTTTTGTGAAGCCCGCCGGACGCGGCTGTGGATTCTTATCTGTCAGTTTGTCCAGGGAGGAAGGTTATTATAGGGGATCGGAAGAAAATTGGGGGCAAAATGGGGATAAAAATTTGGCCGCGGAGGAGTTGGAGGCGGTGGAGGAGAAAGCGGAGGAGGTTAAGGAGCGGAGATCCGGCGCTCTGAATACAACCAAGCATCTCTGGGCTGGTGTTGTTGCTGCTGCTGTCTCAAGGTTTGTTCTTCTTTTCTTTGTGCCAAGTTTCCATTTTTCCTTTTGCCCATTTTTCATTTTGCCATTTTCTTTTGCTTCTATTGTAGGACTTTCATTGCTCCTTTAGAGAGGATGAAGCTGGAATATGTGGTTCGTGGGGAACAGAGGAACCTTTTTGATCTTATCAAGAAAATTGCAACTTCAGAAGGGTTAAAAGGGTTTTGGAAAGGCAATTTTGTCAATATTCTTCGCACTGCTCCTTTCAAGTCAATCAATTTCTATGCTTATGATACTTATAGAGGTCAACTATTGAAGCTGACCGGAAATAAGGAAGCCACAAATTTCGAGCGGTTTGTAGCTGGTGCTGCAGCTGGGATCACTGCTACTTTGCTTTGCCTGCCAATGGACACTGTAAGTGTTCATGTGGTTAATTTTGTAGTTCTAGATAAGTAGCTGCATGATTTGATGAAAGACCAATTAGAAGAATTGAAGTAGCGTACCTCAGTGAGTATAGTTGCCCCTGTGTGTGGTGTATAAGTAGGGGGTCTACATAGTGATGGGTCCTATCACTTTTATCTTTATGGCTGGCATTTATTTGTCATTTCTATGTCTGAGATTTCACTTGTCACTATGATGCAGCCACACTAGTTCATAGTTGCTAGATAATTTGGTTGTGATTTAGGTTCTATAATAGAAAAATATAGTTTATGGTTTTCTTTCCTTACCATTAGGCTTATATTTGAGTTTTATTCAGACAATTTCGTGTCTATGTCCGTGCAAATAATTGGTACACACCCTAAATGCAAATGTAATGTGTGTTGCAGATAAGGACAGTAATTGTAGCACCTGGTGGGGAAGCATTGGGTGGTGTAATAGGTGCTTTCCGTCACATGATTCAGACAGAAGGGTTCTTTTCTCTTTACAAGGGATTAGTGCCCTCTGTTGTAAGCATGGCACCTTCAGGTGCAGTGTTCTATGGTGTTTATGATATTCTGAAATCAGCTTATCTTCATTCGCCGGAAGGGAGAAAAAGAATCCGAGACATGAAAAAACACGGTCAGGAGCTCAATGCATTGGAACAATTGGAGTTGGGTCCCATTAGAACATTGCTATATGGCGCAATTGCTGGTGCATGTTCTGAGGCTGTTACATATCCATTTGAAGTTGTGAGGAGACATCTTCAAATGCAAGTTCGGGCAACAAAGTTAAGCCCATTGGCCACTTGTGTAAAGATAGTTGAGCAAGGTGGTGTTCCTGCTCTATATGCAGGATTGACTCCTAGCTTACTGCAGGTACTTTTCATATCTCTTTAGTGTATGCAGTAGACCTTTATTTCCTGAATATCTTGGTTTTGACTTGTAAGGTGCCTTCAGAACATAAGCCATAAGTGGAATGATTTAACAAAGAGGATTAGCCCATTATTAGCCAAACCTTTTTTTTTTTTTTCTGATCAATCAAAATTTCATTATTAGCCAAACCTATTTGGAAATTATTTGATTTGGCACCTCTTGTTGAGGATTAGGATGAATACTCTTGGAAAGTGAAGACACAGTTTTTAATAGTGATGTCTCTAAACTTACTACAAGGAGAATGCAGGTGAAATATATTTTAAGATCTGGAATTTTGCATGTAGCTAGCAGTTGTTTTTAACTAGAAGCCTGATATGGTGTGTGATGGAAATCTAAGAATTTTAGGAGGGCCTATGATACCTTTAAGCTGGTAGGTTTTCTGAATAGCCACATCTCAGGTAATCATGTATTTGGTGCCATGCCTCATTGGTTGGTTAAATACTGACGACCTGAAATTCTATCCTCTGTCATTATTCTTCATATTTTGGGTTTGGCTATCAGTACGTTAGGATTCTTGAGTTTTTATAACTGTTAAGATGATGGTAACAAATGCGGCTGGATAAAAGCTTAATTTCAGTCTTACGGAAAATTTTGGAAGATGCCTGACAGTTGGTCATTTTACTAGACTTTAATAGAAATATTATTTTGCAACAGCCTTTGGGCAAATGGCTATGGATAGATGATGATGATGAAGACGACAACCATGATTGTATTTATAGTCTTACGTATAACTATAATAAATCTTGATTTGGGTGCCCAAAATTAGAGAACATTTAAGGATGGTTTGATTGACACCAGCAGAATTTTTGATTTGATTCAGGGTAGATCATTTCACTGGTTAAAATTTAGAGGCAATGGTAACAATATGCTCCTTCATGAGTGGATTTCAAATCCTAAATTATGGCTCTAAATTGTTCACGGGTGAGCTTTTGATTGATAACGCAACATTTGTATAGGGGGAAAGTGTTGAAGCAAACTACAATGTGTTTACGGGCATGAGTACCCCGTGTACTCACTTAATAACAATAAATTCTTTTGCTTTTAAAAAAAAAAAAAAAAAAAAAATTCTTTTGCTTTTCAAAAAAAAAAAAAAAATCTTGATTTGTTGGTAGTCATATAACTGTCTCTGATTAGGAGAACTGAAGGATAAAGAGAAAATAATTTGCACTTGAGTTGCTCAATCGGATGATATCTACTGACTTGTTCCTGACATGATTTTTCATCTTCTTGATTAAACTATATGCTGTGCTCTTGGGTTGCATCTGTGGAACATGTAAGATAGCATTAAGTTGCTACTTCATGTTTCTTGCTTTCTTCCTTGTCTAACTTGATATTTATGGCTCTCCAGGTTCTACCATCAGCAGCCATAAGTTACCTCGTATATGAGTTCATGAAAATAGTTCTGAAGGTGGAGTCGGCATAGACATTGTACCTGCTTAACTATAACTCTGGAAAGGCTTTTACTTGACTGCCTGTGGGTAATGAAGCATACTTTTTGGTGGAGTTATCCACTGTTTGGATCTCCAAGACGTTGTTGATAAGTTAAATGCCATTTTGCAGCTTAAACTGAGGAAACTGCAGTTCCTTTCAAGCATTGTTAGCCTTCTTATAAAGCAAAATACGTATGTTTTATCAACTTTTATACTAATCAAAGATTGATACCATAACATTGAAGTAGATTATATCTTCATCAAGGTAACGTTTTTCTTTTTCTTTTCACTTGCATGGTGTATGAGTAGAACCTAGAACGTTTGGAGTGTGCCTATTTGGAACTATTTCTAAAAAGATCTTCTTTATTACAAAAGCCAAAGCTGGGCCAAAACACAGTTAGGTCATTGGCTCTTCTCTTTGTACTTGGTAGGTAGCTTGTTTACAATGCACATGTAAATCAGTAGTCTTTTGACCCCTTAGAAGGTATTTCATTTATTGATCTAAACCAAAATAATAAGTCATACGTCCTGTCAAAATAAAATTTGTAGCGTGCAAGCTTTATATAGTAATTGCTGAACTCAGAGGGACACGTTGGTCAGATTGTACTTTTTATTCAAGTACAAGTTGATGTCTGGACCACAAAAGAAATGCTTCATGGCAAAACTAGCCATTGGCCAAGCAAAAACAAAACACCCAAAAAATAATAATAATAATAATAAAGGAAGAAGAAGAAGATAAGAACAAAAAATAGAAACGTTTCTTTTTTTCTTTTTTTCTTTTTTCTTTTTTTTCAAACTGGAGTTAGCATATAACAAAAGGAGTGATTGGCTCTTCTCTTTGCCTTTGATCACATCGTTTACACTATTATTTATTATAGTTGCTTCCTAAAATTGTTAATCACATTGACTATTGTTATTGATGTTTTACCATTAGACTAATAGTTAACTTACTCCTAAAAATTATAAAGAAAAATATTATAAATTTTAAAAATAAAAACACGAATTATAAAAAATGTTTAAAAAAGAAAGAAAGAAATGGTAAAATCAGCCACGGTTGAGTATTTGTAACGTCAAGAGCAAATCGTGAAGTTGGTTCCAACGGCCGCAGATTTTGCGGTTGACTAGTTTTGTATGAGCTGGTGCGAAATTCAAGGATCTCCTCTGGGCTCTAGCCTCTAGCAACGGCCATGCCAAGGGAGTGAAGTACTATAAATTTGCCTACATTTGGTGGGGTAACTCAGAGACAATGCCTGTGGCTATTCCACTAGCCGATTTACGGTTCACAAAACCCTCCTATCGTCGCACCCAACAACAATGTGGGTCTTGATGGGATGATGATCAACTTGGCTAGCCTATTGGCCGGAACCGCTACCAACCCTTTTGAGAATGGGTACTTAGAGGGTCCAGCCAAGGCACCATTGAAGGCTGCATCCGCATGTCCTGGTGTTTATGGCAAAGGACCTTACGTGGGCTATGCTAGACAAGCAAGCTGTAACGCTCGTGGAGACAACAGGAGGAAGAACTTGCTTCCAGCTCTTTATGATCCTGCGACGTGTGATCTTGGTCTCAAAGATGAAGGGTAAACCAGTGCAGCTTGGTGTTGAACAAAGGTAAAGGGGGAGAATTGCAGTATTAGCTACTTTCATGAATGACAATGGTGGTTCCAACAATTGTTGAGAGTTTTAGAAATGGTAAAGCTATGCAGGAAGGCGACTCCATGGACATGTTTGCAATGTGGCCTGAGCCACAATATTGCTGGCTTGGTTTAGTTAAAGCTTTTACTGCAATAAGGCAAATGAAGTTCTTTTATACTAAGCTCCATGAAACATGTGAAGTATTGTTGATGCCCTCTTTGGGTTAGGAATGGTTGTGGCCAATTTGATATACATTAGTGTTGTATTGAGTATTGTGACTGACCTAACCTTTGGAGGGGAAAAGAGAAATTGGCAACAATCATTCCTTGCACCAACAGAGGAACAGCAATACTTGACATGCTTCTTGGGAGTACGGTATAAAAGAACTCTATTGGGCCTATTACAGTAAAAGCTTGTGGCATATGCCACATTGCCACATTACAAACATGTCCTTTGAAGTCGCTACCTGTATAGCCTTCACACACAACATTTGCTGAAACTATCATTGCCATCCACGAAAGTAATATAGCACAATTCCCATCCTTAGTTTAACACCAAGCTGCACTAGTTTACGCTTTCAACAACACTAGATATGGCAAATTGGATTTGGCCGTTCCTTGCTCGATTGAAGCGGAGACTTTGGTTTGACATTATGATGAATGATTGGATATTGTTCTAGTTGTTTGTTTTTATTAACAGCAGTTAGGATATATATGATAGAAGGAGTGTGCATAAAAAGATATTTTTTACTATAAAGGTTGAAATTGGGCCAAACACAGTTCGGTCATTGATTTTTTTTTCTTTGCCATTGATAAACAAGAAGTCCAGGTATTACACAAACAAAATATAGTTAATTCATGGCATGTTTCATGAAAATCTATATTTTTCGGTAAAAAATAATTTAATATTTAGAAAAAAAAGACTGAAATAAAAAATAAGATAATGATTAATATGTTTTTTGATTTAATATATTTTATAACATACTATTATTTTTAAATTTGAATTCAAAATGAAAAAAATATTTCGCTTATAGAATTTAATAACTGAACTGATGAATATTAGTAAGTGCGATAAAGTTAAAAGTTTATCAATTATTTTCTTTAAAAATAACAAAATTAAAACCTATGACTTCTATTATAAATATGCTATTTTAAGTTTATTTTTTAATCACATAAAAAAAATTATTCTTTTATGGCTAAATACTAGGGATTGAACTCACAAATATTATATTGCTTGATCACATGATTGATGGCTTGATCACATCGCTGATGATGGTATTATTTTTAGTTCATGGTACTCAAATTGTTCATTATTTGTTATAGTAATTAGTTTACTAAAAGTAGTTACCTTACTCCTAAAATTTAAAAAGATAAATATTACTATAAAATTTTAAAATAAAAACAAAGAACCTTCAATAATGTTAAAGAAAAGGAAATTGTAAAATCAATCACGGTTGGATCTTTGTCTTTGCAATTTTATTCCACTTCTCCAATTTCTACGTGTTCAAACAAAAAAAAAAAAACTGTGGGCCAACTCTAGCCAATAAGGGTGGAATTGGGTTGACAATCCTTGACCATAACCCAAATTAACCCA